TGAGAGAGAGGTACCCCTAACAAGGCCTTCAAACCACGATTCACCCCCAGTCTCAGCCAGCAAAGATCAGGAGCGCACAGGCACATGCCTGACACACACGGAGAGGCCTCAAGATGCAAACCGGACCTTCCTATCTGGATCCAGCATCACCGTGCACAGAATCACCTCGGCACCACTGCATTGCCTTTTAAAGAAATACGTCCCGTTGCTAGCTACCTCTAGAGATTAGCTTTTCTGTTTCTGTGAGAATGAAAGCCGTCTCTTGAAACTCTGAGAACAGACCGCACTTGGTGGCTTAGTGGTCAGTGTGTATGTTGGAAGGACACACCGATTGGCAGCATGGGTAACTGTTACCTTCTGTTTACTCAGGAAAGTTAACGCAGTGGCACAAAAGCAGCTTGGACGCCTGTGGCACACAAGTTCAGTCTTCTTCCACCCTCCCATCCACGAATATGCAGAAAAGCTTTCAGAGCTTCTGCCTGAGCCTCTTAAGGTATGATGCTCCCAACTCGAGAGAAAGAGTCACATGACTCCCAGGGGAACTGCCCTAGGAAGCAAGAGGATGGGTAGGGAATTTGGTCTGTTCGTTGAGCATCTGTTACGGTGAGCTGACAGCTGTATCTGAAAGCAACCAAAGAGAAAAAAAGGGCATTTACAAGTTACGGTGAAACAAGACACAACGCCTCTGAGGCTTTGCCTTTCTGTGATTACTCTCCTCACCACATCTTTGCAGAAATCCCTTACTGAGAGCTCTAGCCCTCCTGATGGTCTCGCCAATGTCTTTAGAAGTGTTAGTCTGTTTGCTCCTCAGCCTCTCTGCAAAGTGATTCGGATTTCATTTTTTTTTTTAACAAAGAATAAAGTCCTTTTTTATAAATGCCTTTGTTTTGTTCTAAAGGTGCTTGGTATTTTTTGATAAATGAGATCTTTTTCTGCTTCTGAAATGACCGTATTTTAAAACTGATTCAAGTGGGGCTGGCAGGTGACGACGTAGTGCTTAAGGCACCGGACTCCCACATGGCCAACCAAGGTTCCAGTCCTAGACTTGGCAGCTTGCTTTTTTACTTTCTCTCTCTCTCTCTCTCTCTCTCTCTCTCTCTGTAGTCAAATTGAAAAAATAATTATGATGAATAAAATTAAATAAAATGATTCTTTAAAAATTAAAAAAAATGGAGTTGTTAAAATGTTGGCCAGCATTACATTTAAACATTAAATGAGTTCATACATATAAAGTATCTAGAATGGTGCCCATACCAGGTGTTCTGGTGTGGGCTATTATTTTACTATGTTATCTGTATTATCTAGGTACTTTATTTACTATGGTATTCAGAATAAAGAAGAAACTTGGAATCACTACAACTCAAGCTGAGCCCCAGAAGTTCATGAAGAAGCAGCACAGCTATGAGCACATGTCAATCAATTTAGAGGACAGGGTTCCCTTCAGTTCCCCCCATTCTTTTCTCCAGGCTGTGCTGCATTTTTTATTTACTTAGTTTCTCTTTTTAATTACAAGAGCACACTTGCACTTACCAGAGAGAAACAGAAAGCCTCCCCTAAGGAGGCATTGTTACACCACAATTCGCTCTCCTTCATTTCTTCATCCTGCCAGGATTTTGGACACCCAAGCACATGCATTCATCCTGTTTGTCAAGCTCCCGAGGCTTGGCTTCAAACTGCAGTTGGTCATATGGGATCCAGCTCCCTTAACCACTAGGGTACCAGGCCAGTATGCCTACTTGATTGTCCAATATTTGTACAACTGGCACAGTAAGGCTGGGACTCCCTCTAGGGTACTGGCACAGTAAGGCTGGGACTCCCTCTAGCGGGGTGCGGGGGGGGGGGGTCTTCCTTGTTCCAAATACGCAGAATCAGTCGAACTGAGTTAGATGCAAGAGCGAGGACATTCAGTCCTTGTATCCACTAACTATTGCGTCCTCCTCAACAAGTCTCCCTTAGCACCTTACAGAGCATAAATAAATCCAATGAAGGCCTGGACTGCTTCACAGCTGAGGCAACCTCTTATGTCTAGCATTTAGCAGCTGCTCTATGAAAGGCTGTAGAATTATTATAGTACTTAAATGATGGTACTTTTGGGTAACCCAAGCTGATCTGAAGGGAACTCTCCTTAACAATCTGAGGCCAAGGGGCTAGCAGGTGGTGTGGTGGTTAAGGTGCTGGAGTCCCACATGGTGACCACGGTGCGAGTCCCAGACCCGGCAGCTTACTTTCTGACTTTCTATCTCTCTTTCTCTCTCTGCTCAAATGAGAGACAATAATAAATGAAATGAAATAGATCATTAAACAATAATAACCTGAGGCCAGAAAGAAATATCTTTAGCAATTTTGAAAGAATTGGGTGATAAGGAAGTAAAGTACGAAGCCATGTGTCTTTCTTTCCCCTCCAGGTCATTTTCTTGACAAACAGCGGCTCAGAAGCCAATGACCTGGCTATGCTCATGGCCAGAGCACATTCAAAAAAAACAGACATCATTTCTTTCAGGTAATCACACTTTGGACTATTTAGCTTTGTAACATTGATGTATCTGAGGCCTAAGAGTTTAAATTATGGCATGGAGCAAAAGAGGGGCTCCCCAAGGGTAGTTTTCTCATTTTAGATTTAAGGGCAGGATGAGTTGTATGAATTGTGTGACTGGATAACCCCATCCAAGTCGTCTAGACAGTATGGCAAACAACTTGGGGCTCTCATCATGTGATCCTCCTATGGAATTAAAAAGAAGGTTTTATCATAGATTTTTAATACTAAAGTTATGGCATCAACTATAGTATATTGCCAAGTAGCAAATGAATGCTCTACACCTATGGAAAATCAAGGTTCTGCCCCATGACATGGGCCAATTTCAATTTCTGCTCATGACAAGGGGCCATTTACTAATTCCATAGTAATGCTATACCCATTTATTCCCTTTAACTTTAGAGGAAGCATATCTACCCCTGCATATTTCCACTTCTCTGGGTAACTTTTGAGAAATGATAACTTAATAGATAAGCTTTAAACCATTAAAAATAATAGATAACTGGGCCATCCCTGTGGCCTGGTAGTTAAGGAAGCTAGATCCAAATGGCTGACTGTGCAGTTCAAATCCAAACCCAGCAACTTGGAAATCATACTAAGCTCATGTGCATGCATGCCCCAAATCTCAACAAGATGGAGAAATGGCCAAGAAGAAATTCAGTATGACCATGCCTGACTGGGGAATGCTTTCTCCCTCTCCCTCTCTCTGTTTCTCTCTCTTTTTCATGCACGCACTTAATTAGTACTCACCAGAGACCCTGGTGATCACCTGCTGACCTCAGCCATATCTTTGAATAGTCTTAAGAGTCCTAATTCCTTGGGGCCAGCAGGTGATGTGGTGGTGGTTAAGGTACTGGATTCCCACATGGCTCTCTACATTTTGAGTCCTTTCTCTCTTTCTTTCTGTCTCTCTTTAGTGAGCAAATGAAAAATAATAATAATTAAAAGTACACAAAAATACATTCTGACTTTTCCAATGACCAAATAAATAATTAAAAAAAAAAAAGATGGGACTAGCAGATGGTGTAATGGTTATGTCACTGGACTATATTTCCACTTCTCTGGGTAACTTTTGAGAAATGATAACTTAATAGATAAGCTTTAAACCATTAAAAATAATAGATAACTGGGCCATCCCTGTGGCCTGGTAGTTAAGGAAGCTAGATCCAAATGGCTGACTGTGCAGTTCAAATCCAAACCCAGCAACTTGGAAATCATACTAAGCTCATGTGCATGCATGCCCCAAATCTCAACAAGATGGAGAAATGGCCAAGAAGAAATTCAGTATGACCATGCCTGACTGGGGAATGCTTTCTCCCTCTCCCTCTCTCTGTTTCTCTCTCTTTTTCATGCACGCACTTAATTAGTACTCACCAGAGACCCTGGTGATCACCTGCTGACCTCAGCCATATCTTTGAATAGTCTTAAGAGTCCTAATTCCTTGGGGCCAGCAGGTGATGTGGTGGTGGTTAAGGTACTGGATTCCCACATGGCTCTCTACATTTTGAGTCCTTTCTCTCTTTCTTTCTGTCTCTCTTTAGTGAGCAAATGAAAAATAATAATAATTAAAAGTACACAAAAATACATTCTGACTTTTCCAATGACCAAATAAATAATTAAAAAAAAAAAAGATGGGACTAGCAGATGGTGTAATGGTTATGTCACTGGACTCCCATGTAGTTGACCATAGTTCGAGTCCTGAACCTGGTGGCTTAAAACTCACACTAGGCACATGTGCATGTGTGCCCAAAATCCTAAGAGTAGAGTGGAGGAGAAGGGATTGTGGCATGGTCATCCACCCTGGGGGAGGATTTCTCACTTTCTGTCTCTGTGTCTCTCCCACAAGTACATAAGCCCTATAGCAAAAAGTTCTCTAAGAAAAAAAGAAAGAAAGGTTGCTCAATTCAGGAATCCCAAATAAAGCCAATTATGTTCTTTAAAAAAATTTTAAAGAGTTCTAATTCTTCATTTGAATGTGATTTTGATTTGGGAAATTATCAAAACTCATTTGAAACCAAGACTAGTGATTAAGATCATTTATATTATATATGACTGCTTCAGATTCAAAAGAAACAAAACCAACATTTATTTTGAGCCAAATAAGGGGGTTTAAAAGACAAGCAAGCAGTTCCTAAAGAGACTGAGCAATAGCTGCTTCTAAGGAAAAATGATTTGCCTTCCCAAGGTGACTATTTTGAAGAGTTGTACACACTTGAACATATAATCTCTGCCATGTTGCTAAAAATTGAGTCTCATCACTTTAGATTAATAGGGCAAGTTGTAAAGTCAAAGTTCTCGGCCAAATGGTCTCCAAAATTCCTTTCACAATCTCAAACCTATGATACCAGTAAAAAAAAGTAAGTATATTCACCTGATATAGACTTAGAATAATTCTTTAAAATCATCAGAATTGAATGTTAATAGTGTTCAATTTCCTCTCCATAACGTTTATGAATTTTCCCTTTTGTCCCACTTAGTGGTACACAGACTAGTGATGGAGGAAAATGAAATTGATGCCATCCTCCCATTGTGTTTTTTAGTTATTTACTTATATTACCAGATGGCACATGCTTGCCAGAGAGGGACAGACAGAAAGGGAGATGGAGAGAGCAACTCCTAATAGGGCATGGTCATGCCACCATGATCCCTTATCCATTTCACCACCCTGCCTAAATTTGGGGCATACACATGTGTTTTGCAAGGCACTGGAGTCAGGATTTGAACTGTGGCCAGCAATGTGGGGTTCAGCTTCCTTAACCACTAGGTCCTGGCCTCCACTGATTTTTTTTCTCTGCAGAGGAGCCTACCATGGATGCAGTCCTTACACACTTGGCTTGACAAACGTTGGGCCCTTCAAGATGGAGCTCCCCAGTGGGATGGGTTGCCAATCAGTGAGTTTTGAGATTTTTGTCTTGTTTTTCTAAAGATGGCTGGGTATGTAGAATAACTGATCAGATTTTCCTGATATTAGTATTAGAATCTAATATAAAGTCTCTCATAATCAAGAACTCATTTTAACTTAATTAAAGACCATTTGGAGGAAAATGTTTCTCAGAAAGAACTTCAGAGTCTGAGTAATTATTAATGATAGAATTTGTAATGTATTTTGCTTTTAGACAAAATTAAGAAAACTGCAAGGCTCTGAGAACTGTGAATGCACAAAACTGCTGTAGAGTCATCATTATACGTGCCTTTGGTGCTCAATTGCCATACCCCCTGTTTCAGCCTGAAAATCAGATGCCTAATTATTCTTATTCTTCAGACGCCTTAAACCCCCAAACCCTTGAACAAGTAGTTTCCCAGCTAATATTGAAGTCAGTTTCCTTTATAAAGAGCCTACATAACTGATTTTTATGGTAAAATGATTTTTTCAAAGCAGAATATTAGATTCTCACTGTAAGTGGGGGAGGAGTGAGAGAAGAGCCTCAGTATCAAATTAAGAAGAGCCTTCTTACCTTAACTGATACTATACACTCCCTCAAATTGGCTGTGCTGGGTTCGTGTTTTGCCAAACTCCTTCTTTTGTGATTTGCAGACAATGTGCCCAGATGTTTTCCGTGGACCTTGGGGAGGAAGCCATTGTCGTGATTCTCTCGTGCAGACAATTAGGAAATGCAGCTGTGCACCAGGTCCAAATGGGCAGGGAGGGAGGGTCGGAGTGTGGAAGGTCAGGAGGGTCGGAACTCAGAGAAAGGCAGAACCATCCCTGGGTGAACAATTAAATTTGAAAAAAGGGAAAAGCCAAAGCAACACTGGAAGTAGCCAAATAACTACTTGTTTAAATAAGCTTTGTCATACCTTTTACCATTTCTCTATCAAAGCATCCATCTGGCCGTATAGGAAGAGCATATCATGCTATTAGAACAAGGCTGAAAAACAGACTATCACCTGGTATTTAATTAAAGGGGCCCTATTAGCTCTATAAGCAATAGCTCTATTATCATTTTTAAAAAATAAGAAGGTAGGCAGGATTATTTACCAATTTCTAATAAAAGCAGGCAGGAGAGAAAAGCATACTTCTGGGAATTTCAAAACTCTAGTCAAGAGGTTATCCAGGGACTCAGAATGCCAGTCTAAACTAGAGGATCTGTCAAAACATTAGGCTCTTCCTGAAAGCTGCTGACATCTCCTGCCAAAGTTTTTAAGTCATTCTTACAAGGAAAACTTTTATTTTTTCAGTCACATTTTTATTTGCATTCTTTACCTGGGGGGGTAAAGAAAGTTCCTAGTTCTAACACGAGGGGGAGGAGGCACAGGAACATCATCTGTTCTTTCTAATCAGTAAATCCTGTCTCAGATTTGTCATCATAATACAGAAGTTTTTGAAGAGCTGTTCCTAAGTAGTCCTGAAGGAAGGAATTAAAAGCTCTAACCAAAAGAGCTCTAATGGAATGGCATGAGTCATCAGGGTAAGAGGAAGAATGCAAAATGGAAGACTTAAAAAGCAATTCTGAAAGGAAGAAAACTCACAGTCATCTTAAAATTCAGATGGTATAATAGCACAATAAAGGTGAGAGGATGAAAGAATAGCATTGGAACAAGACAAGATGTCGTGGTCACAGAATTTAAATCCAGAAGGAAGTTTAAGGTTATAATTCAAAATCTCTATTCAAAGATGAGGAAATCAAAGTCTATGCATAGAAGCCAAGAGAACTAGGATTCAACCCCAGGCCTCTAGCCTCTGACTCCAAAGCCTATGCTCCCAATACCTGTGACCATCCTCATTCACACTGGCATGCCATCAGGATGAACCCAATTGAATAATAATTTCTCTTCTGCTAACCAGGACTGAGGAGACGCATGAACTCAAGATATCTGGATTCCATTCCCAGCTCTGCCATGGTTCAGCTATAAGTAAAATCTCCACCTTTTGCTTTAGTTTCCTCATTTATAAAACTGAGATAGTAATACATACTCCCCACTGCCCCATCATAGCACTTCATGAGCTCAAAGTCTAGAGAGCTTTTTGTAAAAGAAGGCAGATAATTGCAATACCAAGTAGATCATGTCTGGATGGCGCATCTGTACAGCATGGAGAGTTGAAATCAGTTTGATACACTTCATAGACTTTCATCTGACTGCAAAACCATCATCACAAAAGCTAACAGAAGACTCAGCATCCACTCAATGTTGTCATGGTGACACCAATGCACCAAATCTCATCAGAGGTGGCTTGTCCTGGAGTTATGGTGATGAGCCACTGAAGCAAGTGTGAAATAAAGTAAAAAGTTGATGACAATAAATGACCTCTCTCATCACTGAACATGTGAGCAGAGGACATCCGGCCTTTACCTAAGGATATTTGTCAAGCCTGGTAACCTAGAGCTTTAGTTTTTATGACTCTATGGAGTGTAGGAAAGAGGTGACAAATTCCAGAGCTCAGTCTAATTAAGGATCTGATAAGAAAAATTTTCAAATACAAAGCTGGAACTCCCAAGAGGCCACATCTGCATTTTTTTGAGAGGTTTTTTGTTTTGTTTTGTTTTGTTTTTCTATAGGACACATGCCCTTATCAGAGAGACAGAGACAAAAATAGAAAGCAAGAAACCACCCCCCAGGGTGGATGTCCATACCCTAATCCCTTCTCCTCCATTCTCCTCTTGGAATTTGGGCATGCATGCACATGTGCCCAGCGTTGAGTTTCAAGCCACCAGGTCTGGAACTCAAACCGTGGTCAACCACATGGGAGTATAGCATCTTAACTTCTATGCCACTTGCTGGTCCAAAGACCATGTCTTCATTAGCAGGCCAACTAGGAATAAAAGTACCAACAAAAACAACTTATCATGCATCCAAGGACCTGCAAGAGTTCTAGGGTTGAATATAAGGAGAGGGGATCTGGGAAAAACCACCCCTGAAAATTTGAACTGAAGCTAATTATCATGATATGTTGTGTTCTGAACTCTCACTAGCTCAATTAAATTGTTTACAGGAATTTTAACCGGTAGTACCCAATGTCCTTGGAAACTGTAAATGCAAACTTGCTCTGTAGGAACCTACCTCACTCTATGCCTAAAGAATTCTCACAAATGAAATTACAGGAAAATAAAATGCCCATAGTCAAGAACAGTTAACATACAAAGAAACAAAACTCCAGAGTCAAGAAAAAGAATTTCATATGACAGAATATCAAACAGACTGTAAAATGAATGTTTAACATGTTTAAAGAAAATTAAATATAAAACTTGAAAATATGTGCAGGAGATAAGGAACTATAAAGAATGACAAGGCAAGGTTTGAAAACAAATATATCTTCTAGTAATCTTCTAGTAATAAGAACAAAAAGGCAGTAATTGAAATTTAAAATTCAGCAGGTGAGTTTTCCATAGTTAGATCCAGTCAAAAATAAATAAAAATAAATGAATTATAGATAGAGCATTCGATAAAGATACTTTATTCCCTTTCCAGATAGGAAAGACCTTGAGTGAAATTGCTGAATGTTTCCCATCGACCACAATTTCTACTGTTTATTTGCTTCTTAGTTCACCAAAATTTACTAGGCTCTTATATTATGCCAGACAGAGGTTCTAAAGATAAACAAATCATAGTTCTTACCCACAAAAAGCTCTTGGTTTAAGGAGAAAAGACCTGTAAACAAAGCATAGGACCAAGTGCTAAGGATTGCAGTGGATGAAAGTCATTTGTCTCTAGCACTTTCCCCTTTAGACTAAAATTCTAATGGTTCCTTAAACATATGTACTGACACTAAAGACAGAGATATTATGTAGCTTGAAAACTGTACATTAGATGATGAGGATAATGTTAATGGTAGTATGTTTGATTGGGTTAATATGCCATGTATAGTGTTTTCATGGTGGGAAAATGATTTTTATGCTGTAAAGATGTACAATAATTAAATGTAAAAATGAAAAGAAAACTGTACATTAGATTAAGAGGCAATAAAAGGAAGATAGTGTTATTTTCAAATAGATTAAATCACCCCAATATGCAACTGCACTCCCTAGAGAGAGACAGAGAGAAAAAATGAGAGGAAAAATGAGAAATCCTCCCCTGGGGGGAATGGCCATGCCACAATACCTTCACCTCCATTCTCCCCTCAGGATTTTGTGCACACATGCATATGCACTTGGCATGATTTTCAAGTCACCTGTTCTGAGACTTAAATGATAGTCAGCTTACACCATGTGGGAGTCCTATACCACCTGCTGGGCCCCCAGTTAAGTTTGAACAGTTCTACCATTTGAGAAGATTGACATCCTCAACTATCTATACCAGATTCAGTAACACTTCAGGACATTTTTCACCGGAGAGAAATGATTAAAGCGGTTTGTTTGTGTCTTTATAACCATCTTAATCTCCTTCCTTGAACCAAAGTACAAGTTATTCCAATACTACTGTATCCCTTCAGAAATGTGTATCCTCATATCCTAGTTTACTGTATTATGAGTCTCCAATCCATTTATTCACTCTGTCTTTTATTCTTTTTTTCTGAATTTTCCCTTATTCTTCTGGATACTATTCTCATATCTTCAAATGCTGTAATTTGTTGGTTTTTGCAGATTGCTGCCAAGCTAAAGATCAGTATATTGAACAGTTCAAAGATACTCTGGACACTTCTGTGGCCAAGTCAATTGCTGGATTTTTTGCAGAACCAATTCAAGTAGGTATATGAACCTTAGAGATTAGTTGAGCTGAAATTTCAATTATCAGAGATTTTTGTCATACATACATCTGGAGAATTCCAATTAATTCCAAATTAATTAGGTATCCATTGTTATGTCCCTCTCCAAGTTAGATTCATTCTCTTAGCCCCCTTGACAAAAAAAGGGCCCCAATTTCCATTTGACCTTTAAAAAAAAAAAGTCCTCCATTCTCATACTGACCAGATAGATAGATAAAACTATTGCATTTCCAAAAATTCTCAAGAAAAGGAAACCCAACAACTTTAAATTGCTTAATACCCATACCATAAAAGGAGGTTTTTTTGTTGTTGTTTTTTTTTTATTTTTAATTTCACCAAGTCCCCTTATTCTACTGTATTCTAATCTCAGAAGAGAATATATATTCACATCCTTTTTCCAGAAGGCACAACATAAGCGTAATGGCCCATATCATCACCCATAGTTGAAACGGTTCTATAGACTCTTAAAACTTGTTAGTATCACTCTTAAGATAATGATGATCATACTACTTTGCTTTTTAATACTTTGAAAGGGCTTGTGCTGTTATTACAGGTCTTTTTGGTTTGGTTTCTTGCAGGGTGTGAATGGAGTCATCCAGTACCCAAAGGGGTTTCTAAAGAAAGCCTTTGAGCTGGTACGAGAGAGGGGAGGCGTGTGCATTGCAGACGAAGTGAGTACTAACATGATGCAGATGCAATTTGATACTGTGGGAACAGGAAAGACACAGACAGAAACTTCTTCAACCCCTTCTCCCAATTCTGGGCAGAAAACAGCTAGGGTTTGATTTGCAAAGTATGGCTATAAACTAATGAAGCTTTTGCTTGTTGGTTACCTGGGTAGCAAAGGATTGACTGCTCAGTTTAACAAATACAGCAGAACTTACCAAACTGATGTCTATCAAATAAGTTGCTAACAGACATAGGTGATGCTGCCTTTACTCATCATAATTTTTAAATTCCTTTTTGGGCTTTGCTTTTGGAGCAGCTGACAAATCACATAGGATATATAAAATCAATCAAGTTTTTATCTTAACTTTCGCTAGAACAGTATTAACTATAGATGCATATAACTTTATGACAAAACTTTCTCAGAAATGATATTTTTAAAATAATAATAATATGTGGGACCAGCAGATGGCATAATGATTACATTGTTTGACACCTACATATTGACTGCAGTTCAAGTACAGACCTGGTGGCTTAAAATTCATTCCAGGCACTGTGCTTGTGTGCCCAAGAACCCACAAAGAAAATGGAGAAGGGATTCCCCCTCAGGGAGTGTTTTCTTGCCTTCTGTCTCTCTCTGTCTCTCCAGCAAGCACACGTGCCCTATAGCAAAAATCTCTAAATAATAATATTAGTAATTCAGACTCTAAGTTAGAAGAATGTCATTATTGGACTGGCCTCATGGCACAGTGGGTAAAGGGACCAGATCCTACATGGCCAACCACAGTTCAAGTCCCAGCCTGGTGGCTTAGAGAACACATATGTGCAGGCATGTCCAAAATCCTAACAAGATGGAGAAATGGAGGTAAAGGGACTGTGGCATAATCACACCCCACTAGAGGGAGTGTTTTCTCTCTCTCTTTCTCTATCTCTGGCTAGAGCACACATCTTCTGACAATAAAACAAAAATAAGAAAGGGAGAAAGAAAGACAGATAGAAAGAGAGAGAAAGGAAGAAAGAAAGAAAAAGAAAGGAAGGAAGGGAGGGAGGGAGGAAAAGGAAGGAAGGAAAGAAAAGTGCTATCATTAAAGACACAGAAAATAATTCCCCAAAATTATAAAATAGCTTGAGTTAAGGCAACACCATTGAAACATGCACACAGTATCCCTAAAGGGACTGTTTTGAAGGGAATAAAACTTCTTGGCTATTGTTCTCAAAAGGGGTTAATTTATTTATAATTATGCCATATATTAGAGTGTATCAAAGTGGTCTTTTGCCTACTGAAAATAGCTACGAAGATCAAAAGACCAGAGTACAGTCACTATAGCCACAGAAATCCTCTTGGCTCACTGCTGGGCAGTAACCAATGTCGTAATCACACCCACCAAGAACAGGTACAGAATATGTGTGTATGTGTTTGTGTTTTAATTTGCTAGAGGGCACATGCGCTTATCAGAGGAAGACAGTGAGAGAAAGTGAGAGTGAGAAAACACCCTGCCACTGAGGAGGGGCCAGACTACAATCTCCTCTTCTCCATTTCTCCTTTTATAATTTTGAGCACATATGCACATATACCCAGTGTGTTTTTCAAGCCACCTGGTCTGGCACTCAAAGTATGTAGTAGCCCATGTAATATCCAACCGCCTGAACCACCAAGCCAAGCTGGCCCAAGAACATGTTTTTCATACCTGTTTCAGACCTGCCATCCTTGCCTGAACAGTTTTCCTCAACTAGAAATAGCCTACAGTTGACATTGGTTAGACTGCCCCTTCAGCAGAAATTTTGCAGTTTTGCAAAATTGATGTGCAGCATGGTCTCTGCTACGCAGGTGCCCTGGAGCCTGGCTTATGGCACCGTTTGGGCTGGACTCCTCCTGCCATGCCCATCCTTTCTACCCTAACCTGCCAGGAAACTATATTCCTAGCTGAAGAAAGTTAATCTACCATTGATAAAAATAGAAAGGAATGTTCAATCAGTTTAAAATTAGCTGCATCAGGGAGGAAGATAAACTTTGGCCTCAGAATCAGCACATAGTGAAGTTGCCAAGGTTGAAAAGGCCAGATTCAAAGAAAACATGGACCTCAGCATGTGAGATGACATGCCAAGTTGACTGTACTTAGACGCCAGTTGAAGGGGGTGACAGGCTAAGCAGAGTGAGTAGGTGGATGGTAAAGCCTTAATAAGAGAAAGGAATTTCAGAAAAAGAGACCAGATGGGAGAGGGGTTAGAAGGTAGAGAACTGGGGAAGACAATGAAATCAATGTCTTGTATTTGAGATGGTTGAGATACCTATGAAATGAGAATTGAGAACTGAAACTTAAAAAGGTTAAGGCTGGAGAAATTGATTTGAGAGTGGTCATCATGAAAAGTAGCTGTAGAAGCCATAAGAGTAGCTGAGATTTGTAGGAGAAAACAAAACAGAAAAAGAAAAGATAAAGCCGTTCTATAAAATGCATTGGGGGATCAGGAGGGAAATCAAACAAAACATTTAATAGACACAAAAATGAAAAGTTATGTGGGGGTCAGCAGATCACATAGTGGTTAGCACACTAGACTCTCACATGGCTGACCACGGTTTGAATCCTAGATCTGGTGGTTTGAAAATCAAGGGCACATGGGCATCCACACCCAAACTCCTGAGAGGAGAAGAGTAGGGATTACAACATGACTATCCCCTCTGGAGGATGAGTCCCAATTTCCTCTCTCCAAATCTCTAACTCTCTCCTTTATCTTTATAGTGGGTGTGCACACCCTATTACAAAAACCTAAAAAAAAAAAGAAAAGAAAAGAAAAAGAAAAAGAAAGAAAAGAAAAGTTATCTGTTGATGATAATGGTAATGTCTGACATGACTAATATGCACTTTGAAAAAAAATATATGGACCTCAGAATTTTCTAGAGTATATGATTATATGACTTTGAGGAATGTAACTGAAAACTATCTACCAGGTAAACTTGAGAAAGACTATCCTATGTCTAAGTAGCATAAGAATAGCTAGAATTTTTGAGTGCTTACTAAGCATTAGGCATTGTTCATAATGTTGTGCACACGTTAACATGATATATAAATAGTACAATTCTGTATAATTTCCATTTTACAGTGAATTCATTAAACCAGAGATGATTAAATCACCTGTTAAGGTTATGCATTTAGTAGAGACAGAGCCAGGAGCCAAACCTAGGCTCCCAAAACCACAGTACTAACCACCTTACCAAGTTTTCTCCACAAATGGCAGAATGGTGACACAGAAAAGCAAAGTGCGAAAAGCAAAGTGCGGCAGAAAAGAGGGTAGAATTTCTGACTGCAAGGATCAGATCTGTCACCAAGTGAACCAACACAAGACATCTTAATGACAATCATTGTTTTTTTCTTTTTTTTTTGGGGGGGGGGAGTTGTTGCTATAGGGCACGTGCGCTCGCCAGAAAGACAGAGACAGACAGAGAGACAGAAAGTGAAAAATCACCCCCCCAGGGGGTGCGGCCACGCTGCAATACCTTCTCCTCCATTCCCGAGAACTCTTGGGATATTGGGCATGCACTCACACATGCCCAGCATGAGTTTAAGCCATCAGGCCCAGGACTCAAACCACGGTCGACAACATGGGAATCCAGCAACATGGCCATTATGCTAACTGCTGGTCCCACAATCATTGGTATTCTTTTCTCTAAAATAAAGAATTTGGAATCAAAAATGGAACACTAGTAGCCTCTAAGACCAAAACTGGGCAGCTGGTTTTTATTGGTTTGGCAGAGACCAATTTTGAACTTGAAATTGATTGCTTTTATTAATAGGCAGAGTGCACACAACCATTGTCCCCACCCCTGATCGCTGTCCTAGACCCCACTTGCTTCTCTCCCTAACACATGTTCATCATCCCCAAAGACATGTGAGTTTATAAACCTTAGAATGATCCATGTTCGTCCTACTCTAAGAGTCTATGAAACTGATACTTCCGGGCCCAGCAAATGGTGTAATGGTTACATCACTGGATTCCCACATAGTTGTCCATGGTTTGAGTCCTGGACCCAATGGCTTAAACTCACACCAGATACATGTGTGTGATCCCCAAAATCTCAACAGGAGAATGGAAGAGAAGGGATTGTGGCATAGCCATTTCCCCAGGGAGTGATACCTTGCTTTCTGTCTATCTCTACAGCAAGAACATGTGCCCTATAGCAAAAATCTCTCCCCACTCCTCCCCCCCCAAAAAAAAGAAATGAAAAGAAAAAGAAACTGATACTTCCTAGGTGACTAAATATGGTTTATTGTCCTGCATAATTTTATTCATTGTCTAAGCAATCTTATTTTCACCATTTATTTATGGTATTTAGATGGAGTAAGAAAAAGGGAAGACAAAAAGACAAAATAGATGGATTTTCCATGAGTTCTAGTGTTACCTCATTTGGGCAAATTAATCAACTCGCTCAGAGGTCCATAGCTAAGAAGCAGAGAACCAGGACTCAATCCCAAATTTGTCTGACTCTTAAGTCTAGTTCTTTCTTCCCTTACATTAGTCATTATCATCAGATCATAACTCCTAGAACCTGCCTTGGCTGTAGCAGCCAAGAGAGAGCAGGGAAAATGGGAAGGAAACCTGAGAAACAAACTTACTCTTTTAAGTGAATCTTACCATCAGTCATTCCACACTCCTATCCCTGCTCTGCATTGTGTGTATGTGAAGAGAGAGAGAAAGATAGAGAGAAAGAGAGAGAGAGAGCCAGAAAGAGTTCAAGAAAGCTATACCAGGAAAATTCTGGCAGAAATTTGTATAGAGGCATTTGTCAGACTTTATTCCATTAGGCATTTCTGCCACTATGAATACTTCTTACTAAATGTCTGCTTTGTAGCAGGAATTCCACTTGGTATTATGGATAGTGAGAAGAAGGACATTCCCCATCATCAGACTATGGTGATATAGTCCACAGTGCAAGGTCTGAGAGCAACATGCCCAGAGGACCTTGAGTGGGAGCCCACTAGTGCTCAAGAAAAGCTCCTTAGACTAAGTGATGATGAAGCCATGTTTCAAAGGACCGAAAAAGTTAATGAGATGAAGAAGCAAGAAGGGTCTTCTAAAAAAAGGAAATAGCATGCACAAAAATAAATGGTTAATTTTTAGTCCAAATTCTCACAATTTCTAGATTAGAGAAGTTCAACCCAGAGTTAAGGAACTCAGGTGGGTCTTTCTCATGATGCAATTCTCAGGAAGGGGAGGGAACCTCTGAGAAGAGGAGGACCAGCCTATCTGGGCCGTGTGGCAAGTGCCCCAGCTCCACTAGACTGACAGTAAATCCACTTCAGCCAGCCAGAGCCAGATCCAGTTTCTCCTCTTTTCTATCCACCATCTTACACAAAGGAGGTGCTTATTAGGGACCATTAATCACAATAATCCCTTTCACATGCATTATTTATAGACCCTCTCAGCAGCTCTACCATGTATTGTTATTAGCATTTCTACTTGACAGATGATTTAACAGAGACTTAAGAAACACATCCAGAATTACACAAAACTAGTCATTGGTTGTTGGTGCCTAAAAGCTTAGACACAGATAAAGTGCTTTTTTCATGACACTATACAGATGGTGATGATAATGGCTGGCATCCATGATACTGAGGAGGAGGAGAAGAAGAGAAGGAAAGAAAAGAGAAGGGGAGGGGGGAGAAGCAGCATTTCTTGAAAGGTTTCCACTGTTTGAATTTGTTTTTGTCAGGTACAGACAGGATTTGGAAGGCTGGGCTCTCACTTCTGGGGCTTTCAAACCCATGATGTCCTCCCTGACATTGTCACCATGGCTAAGGGGATTGGGAACGGCTTTCCCATGGCAGCAGTTGTGACCAGTCCAGGTAGGACCTACAGGCAGTTTGTGCTTCTGGGTCTCCTGCATGGGCCATGGTAGGAAACATAGGTACTGGGACTTTGGTGGGTTGGAGGCAGTGATGGAAACTCTACAACGCATTTCCCAAGCAAACAAAAGAAAAAAGCATCTGTCTGCCAGACTGTGGAACAGATGGAAGTAAGGCAGTCCTTTTTGTTCTTGTGCAGGGAAGACTAATACCCCCAGCCCCGCAATGAGATGCAGAGTTCCATTACACTGATGGGTATGATGTGCTATGAAACCAACCCTGAAACCTCCAAAGTAATTGTATTCTTGCATGAGAGTTTTACTTGGTCTTGCCACACAAGTAAACTATAGACTCAAAGTCGAGAGGGACGTATTTCTCTGTTTATACCTCATTAACAAAGCAGCAAAATATAGGCCAGCCCCGTGGCTAGAGGTCAAGGAAGCCATAGCCCTCATGGCTGACCACAGTTGAATTTCCATTCCCAGTGGCTTGAAAAATACATCAGTCAGGTGTGTATGCATGCCCCAAATCCCAATATTATGGAGAAATGGAGGAGAAAAAACTGCAGATCATCACAGCACATTAGGGAGTGCTTTTTCCTTCGCCCTCTCCCTCTCTGTCTCTGTATCTCTTTGGCAATTGCATGTGCCCTCTGGCAAAAAAAAAAAAAAAAGGAAATAAAAAGAGGGAGAGAGAGAGAGAGAAAGAGAAAGAAAGAAAGAAGGAAAGAAAGAAAGAAGGAAAGAAAGAATAAAGAAAGAAAAAGAGAACAGAAGAAAAAGAGAAAAAAAGGCAAATACAGTAAAATCTCACATTTAACATGTTCCATAAAATGAATGTTAGAATTAGTTGTTATTTTTATTAAAATTAGGTTTTACGGAAAGTAACCTTTTCCTTCCATAGGGCATACACGCTCACCAGCAAGAGACAGAGAGGAGAGGTGAGAAATCACCCTCCCCCCAAGGGGGAATGGCTGCACCATCCCTTCTCATTTATTTTCTTGGAATTTTGGGCACACATGCACATGCACCAAGTGTGTTTTTCAAGCCACCAGGTCAGGGTCTTTAATAGCGAAGTTGGCCATTTGAGATCCAGCATCTTAACCACCAGACCATCTGCTGGTTTCAGAAAACAACTTTCTAATAAACCATTTCTTGTTTAGAATCCTAAAATAATTGTTTTTCATTGCCAAAGTGCATGTGGGTTGACCACAAGTAGACAGAAAAACAGAGAGAAAGAGTGAGAGAAGGAGAAAGTATTCCCCAATGGGACACAGTCATGCCACAATCCCTTCTCCTCCATTTCTGCATTCTGTAGAGATTTTGGACACGTACTCATATGCACCCAACATGTTTTTCAAGCCACCAGGGCCATGATTCAAGTCATGGTCAGCCATGTGGGATCTAGCTCCCTTACCCTCTAGGCTATGGGGCTGACCCTTAAAATTATTTTATTTGTTTTTCTCATCAAGAGTAAGCACATTTTAGAGGTACTAAAGAGTAAGTGTTGTGCGATAACTCAGTGTTTTAACCGAATGAATAAAAGTACAAAAATATGAATGCAGCATTTAACTGAACTCTAAATATTTGTGCTTCCGTATTTATCACTGGAGTTGGTGAAATAAATTAGCATCAGAAGTGTGCATCTAGCTTTTATACAGTATAAGGAAATTTCGTGTCTTTCAATAACAAGGTTTTGTTCGAGAAACAGTATTTTTAAATTTTCATTGTATTTTTATATTACATTTAATCACATATATCTTTATAGTGTATAACATTTCTTTTTCCAGCATGATTACCATGCATATCAGTCAAGACAAAGGCATTACTATCCACATCATCAATAGCTTTCCATTTTTTCAGGTTTTTTTTCATTTTTTTAAAAACATTCCATCACTACGCATCATTTGCCTTGTAAAGAGAATTTACTTAACATTAAATACTTCTCAGACCAACCCAGTTGAGAATACTATACATGTTATCATCAGCAGGTAATAAACCATTTCTGTGTCCCACAAATGTCATACCTATTTGTTCTCTTGCTATCCTTCTTTATACTCTTCCCTTGTCCCCTTCTCCCCTGTGTCACACTGTCTTCAGCATCCATTTTCATTGCTTTTATGCCCTCCAATATTTCAATCTCTACCATAGAGTGTGGATAGTCAGTATATATTAAGTGGATAAATACAATATCTTTCTTTCATAACCTGGCTTGCCTCACTCAGGAATAAATCTTCCATATTTGACCACTTTCTATCAAACGCCAGAGGTTTTTTTATGGCTGAATAGTATTCCATACAGTATATGCACCACACTTTTTCAATTCATTCTTCCATTTGTGGAAGAAAGAGTATTTTAAAATGGACAATGGACTATACCATAAATTAATTGAAATCTATTTCTCTTCTATGCAAACATGTTTCAGATAAATGAACCTACTATATACTGACCTTAAAACAATTCAGAAATCATGTTACTTTAGGTGAGATTGTTTTCTTGACACTTCCTTCTTAGTGTCAAGAGTAGAATGTAGGGGTAAAAAAAGGGGGGGCTAAAGTTAATTAAAGGTTCCATGTAAATTCCTACAACTCAAGTTTTAAGGTACTTTCCAATTTATACAACACATTGAAAATTTTGTCATCAAACTTCTCATCAAGTAAGTAAGCAATTTTTCCTTATCCATTGCATTAGTTAGCTCAGGCTGCCCAAACAAAATACCACAGACTGGATGGCTTAAACAGCACACACTTATTTCCCCATAGTTCTGGAGACTAGAAATTCTAGATCAAGCCTCCTGCAGGTTTGGTTTCTGGTGAAGCCTCTCAGTTTATAGATGGCCCCCTCTCACTCTATCCTGAGATAACTTTTCCCCTATGTGTACATGGAAGAGAGCGAGAGCGAGCAAGCTCTGGTGTCTCCTCTGTTTCTTTTAAGAAAACCAGTTCTGTCAAATTCATTTCTTAACAACCATATGTAACCTATCTGTCTTTAAGACTGCATTTAACTTTAACTACTTAAAGGACTATTTCCAAATGCAGTCACATTTGAAGTTGGGATTTCAACCTACAACTTTGGAAAGTACAAATTTTTTCAGCCCATAATATCCACTCAGAGGTGAGTGAAGAAAGAATTAGCTACGGTGACTTTTACAACATAAAATGTCAATGTACCCCAAATGGTGTGGTGAGAGACTCTGGATAGGAATGTGTCAATCTGACCACCTAATGCTTCTCCCCTTAGAGATCGCCAAGTCTTTGGCTAAATGCCTGAGTCACTTCAACACCTTTGGAGGAAACCCCATGGCCTGTGCCATTGGATCTGCTGTGCTGGAGGTATGTTCCAGCAGCCACGTTAAGTCTCTTGTTGCATAGAATGACTGTTTCTAAACCACTCACACATTATCAGAACTCGATTATGTTGCATTATTAAAGGTAAGTTTCTAGTTATTATTCTGCCTTCTCTCTTTTTTAAGCACTGCATTAGGTACATGAAATATTGGATAAGAAATAATACATAACAAACCTCACATACATCAGAAATAAAAGAATTTCCTTAGCCAGCTGCTAGCACTGAAATTTCTTTGTTCTCTAAGCAGTGTCTTCTGGGTAGTTACTAAATGCTCTCCTTGTTATTAGTTTAATTTGGACCCTGTATGTGTATTTTTTTTCCCTCCTTCCCCTTCCTGTATTGTCATAAATTAAATGACTAACAAGAAAGTTTTCTGTAATTACAAATGCTAGGTAATTCAACTATTATGAACAATTGTTCAGTCCTACCCCACTGGCTTAGCCCAGGGTCTCATCTATTGAAAAAGGTTCTAAATGTCCTTGCTAAAATGCATAATAACATTTGCTTAAATAACTATACTTCTGGAAGAATGTCCAGGAAATTAATAGTGATGGTTGTTTATGCGGGGGTGAGAAACTTGGTAGCTGGCAACCAGGGATCAGCCAGAATCTTTCTATTGTCTATACTTTCAGACTTTCTGATTTTGGAGTCATGAGCATAATATACCTCTTCAAAAATATCAAATTTAAAAATATTTTAAAATAGGAGCCAGCTGGTGGTGTGGTGATTGAGGTGGTTGAATCCCAGTAGCTTTAAAAACACATGCATGGGGGTTGGCAGGCAGTGTGGTGGTTAAAGGTGCTGGACTCCCATATGGTCTACCATAGTTCGAGTCCTGGACCTGGTGACTTTCTCTCTCTCTCTCTCTCTCTCTCTCTCCCTCTTTTTCTCTCTCCCACTCTATCCCTCTCTGGTCAAATTTAAATAAATAAATAAAGTTTAATAAATAATCCTAAAAACTAAAAACACATATGCATGCCCAAAATCTCCAGAGGAGGATGGAGGAGAAGAGATTGTAGTGTAGCCATCACCCCTGGAGGTGGAGGTGCTCTCTCACTTTCTGTCTCTCTGTTGCTCCCCAGTGAGCACACGTGCCCTATAGCAAATTATAAAATAATAAATAAAGTGACTTAAAAATTTTTAATAAAAATACATAAGTAAAAGCTGTCCCTTACTAATTAAGTACCCATCTTTAAACTTGATTAAAACATAAAATGAAAAAGTGTGGGTGGGAAAGTGTTGCTTATTTCATTTTGCAGACATTGCCAATTTTTAAAAGGTTTTATTTTATTTCTTCCATGAGTGAGAAAGACAGAGAGAAAGAGAGAAAGACAAAAACAACACCTTGACAGGGTCCTGACAATGTGAGCTGCTTCCAGACTTCAGCTAACCTGGGCCATGGGCACTTGAGTGCCCAGAGCACTTAGGGATGTCTCCAGACGTGAGCCCAGAACCCTCCCATGTGTGTCAGGCATCACATTTTTCTACTGCATCACCATCTGGCCCCCAGCCACCTGTTTCTTTACATTCTATGCTGCCTACATCAATTCAGAAGGTACAGAGAGTTTAGATAAGCAAATGGGTCTGAAAAACATCAAGGTTTGCCTGGAGCCTTGAAAGTATTATCAGTTAAATGTTAATTTAATATATTTCATGTCTCTTGTCAAGAATCACAGGTCTGCTGACTGGAACTTCTTCTTGAAACTCTGTATCTTTTTTTTTTAGAAAGAGGTTTTTGCAATAGGGCGTGTGCGCTCGCCAGAACGACAGGGAGAGACAGAGAAACAGAAAGTGAAAAATCACCCCTCAGGGAAGATGGCCACACCACAATCCCGTCTCCTCCATTCTCCTCTTGGGATCTTGGGCAAGCATGCACACACACCTGGCATGAGTTTAAGCCACTGGGTCTGGGACTCAAACCATGGTTAACCACGTGGGAATCCAGCGACATAGTCATTATGCCAACTGCTGGTCCTGAAACTCTATATTTTTCAGTGTGTTGGCTTTGGGCTCACCTGGGGCTTTGCTCAACTAGAGTCCAGGATTCTGAATTGGGGTGCTTGGGATACAAAATCCTGTGTACACCCAAGAAATGGTGGAAAAAGGTCACCATCACTCAGGAGGGCAAGTACCTGGGATATTTCTTTCTTCAGGACATTTATCTTATTCACTGGTACTCACCACTCTCTGTAAAATCTGGCAGTAATGAACCCCAGGATTATGGAGACTATGTTACTAGTCGTATTGAAGCACACCTTTTGGTCTTTACTAAATTCTTAACCACCCCAAAGGTGAAGAGGTTTGGGACCAGCAGTTAGCATAATGGCTATATCGCTGGACTCCCACGTAGTCAACCGCGGTTCGCCTCCCAGACCCAGTGGCTTAAAACTCACACTGGGCACGTGTGCGTTTGTGCCCAAGATCCCGAGAGGATAATGGAGGAGAAGGGATTGTGGCGTGACCATCCCCCTTGGGGAGTGATTTCTCGCTTTCTGTCTCTCTGTCTCTCTCTCTCTCTCTGTCTGGCAAGCGCACGCGCCCTATAGCGAAAACCTCTCCAAAAAAAATAAAGGTGAAGAGGTTTAAGAGAAACGCCTTTTTACTAAGACTTTGCTTCTTACAGCAAATCTTTGTGTAGCCCACAATACAGCCACCCTAGACTTCAGTAAGTTACAATAAAGAGGTAAGGAAAGTCATGTATGTTTACCTCTCTATGTTTCTCAGTCGATTTTAGAACTTTTTCCATGTCAGATTATTTGGGACTCTGTCTCAACAGGTGATTAAAGAAGAAAACCTACAAGGAAACAGCCAAGAAGTTGGTACCTACACATTACTGAAGTTTGCTAAGCTGCGGGATGAGTTTGAAATTGTTGGAGATGTCCGAGGCAAGGGCCTCATGATAGGAATAGAAATGGTGCAAGATAAGGTAGGTTCTTCCTAGAATAAGGTAGGTGCTGCTCTCTCTGTAGCTTCTGGGGCCAGCAGGAGTTAAAGAAGGATGCAACCACTGAAAACTCACTTCATTTATTCTCAGGGAGTGGGCACATACAGAAAGCAAGACTTGACAAAGCCCTTTGAGATTAGTAGGGAGTGTTGGGTAAGAACAAAATGCTAGCCGAATGAATTCTACAGGGATGAGAGAGAGCACTGGAAAGGAACCACTATTATCCTTGCCAGACTAGGCAATGACTGAACACTTGGAAATATATGAAAGAAAGGAAATTTTTTGGAGATGGGCAGAGGGCTCAGAGAGCTAGTCTAAGTAAAATGGACCAGAAGAAAGTTGTGGTGAAGAATTGGGATGAGGATGTCAAAGATATATAGGATTTTGTGTTTGTTTGTTTCTTTGCTTATCATTTGTTTGTGAATGGGTTTCAATCTCCCAAGAAACCAGGAGAAATGTTGCCCACTGAGGCCTCAAATTCAACATGACAATTCAACTTAGTATTGGCCCCCAAGCCGGTTATTCTTTCCACATCACTGTTTCTGTTTCTCTCCGTCAACCATTCTTCCAATTACCCAGCCTCAATATCATTGAAGTTTGTAACTCCTCCATTTTCCTTATATCAATTGTCAAGTCCTATTAATTCCTTCTTTTCCATGTCTCTCAGATCCTTTCTTTTGTCTCTACTGTTTTTCCTACAGTTAATATGAGTAAGAAATTGTGCCTTTTTTCATAAAAACAAAGCCTAGATTCTCTAGAGAGAGAAATGGCAGGAGAATCTTGGCATGGAGAGGAGTAGCCAGACTGACCTCACAGCAGTAACTCCAGTGCACAAGGACCCAGCTTTCCCTGAGTGACTTCCTATTATTTGGTCTTCCCACACCATCCTACTTTAGAAAGACTGATGCTCAATTCTTTTCATGTTCAGACCAGACATTGATTAATACCAGAGGCTATAGCCAGCACAAAGCTGAAATGTTCAAACAAGATTTGAAACCTAAGGGAAAATAGAAAAATGAACAAAGAGTAATATGGCACTAGTTAGGCTCTCCAACTCACAAGCCATGTGTACTTATATTCAGCTTGTGGCCCAATACAAGATTGCCTTAAGCTCAGAAGAGTCCTTCCTGAGTCCTCCCTTATCCCAGGAGCTCCCTCAAAGATATCTATACTTCTTAAAATCTAGATTCTAGGAAAGAAAGTCCAACAAGAGAAAATGGTCCTCTCTTCCCCACTATTCCAAACCTAACTTCCATGTGCTCAGAGTCATATAAACAAAGTTGTTCATTAGTACTTTATTTTTCATAGTAAAACACTGGAGTCCTTCCAAATGGCCATTGATACAGAACAAGATCAATCCTGGTATCATGCTATTACAGTGACAATGATATATAGCTGGCATGGAAAAATATACAAACTATACCATGGACAAAATAAAATAAGTTATAAAATATCTTTTATATCTCGAGTATCTACAGAATGAGTATCTTCAAAATGGGCTCTTTTTCTCATAGCTCTGTTGTTTGTTACTTTATAGGCAAAGGCTCTGGAAGCAGAACACCCAGATTACAATTCCAGCTCCTCCATTCCCTAGTTCTACTCATTGTCCCCTCAATGCCATACACTCTCCTATATCCAAATGTCATTCAAGCTTTTCTCCAGCAAAGGACATAATACTCCCCTTTCTCTCTACCTTTGGAAATCCTAGTATTTTTCAAGATCCAGTTCTTTATCATACCTCTTCCTTCAAGATTCAGCTCTTTAAAAACACCTTCTCCTTGCCTTTGCTTCTTCCCCTTGCAGGGGCTCTACCCTTCAGCGAATTCATCTAGCATTCACTGTCTAAAAGTTCCTTTGAAGAGATCCTTTCCACTATCGTAGTCAGTTCAGGCTGATATGACACAATGCTATAGACAGTATGTTATAAACAGCAAAAATTTATTGATCACAGTTCTAGAGACTGGGAAGTCCAAGAACAAGGCGTCAGCAGAGTAGTATCTGATGAGGGCCCACTTCCTGGTTTATAGGTGACAGTCTTCCCACTGTAATCTTACATGGCAGAAGGAGTGAGGGAGTTCTCTGGGACCTGTTTAATAAGAGAACTAATTGCCTTCATGAAGGTTTCCCTCTCATGTACTTAGTACCTTCCCAATGGCCCTGTCTTCAAAACTATCACATTGAGAATTAAGTTTCAACATACGAATTTTGAGGAATACATGAATATTCAGTCTATTGCATCCAACATGCATCCATTGACTTGGTTTTTAAAAACTTTATTTTCCTTAATAAATTATATGCTTCTGAGGTATGGCAGCATGTGGATGGTAAGAATGGTAAGTGCTTTGTTTATTGATTGATTTCAGGCCTCTGCGACTCTTCAGATCACAGTCTTGTAATTATACCAACTCAGAACTTTGCAATAATGCTATCCAGCATAACCCGCTGGTGAAGAGGTACCTCTTTGGATAGTAAATAGTCTTTATCTGTCAAGATTTTAAATGTCTATATGTTTGACCTGACAATTCATGCTCTAAAGGAATACTCATAACAGTATGTGAAGATATATATGAACAGGAACGTTTGCAGCATTGCTTACAATCATGAAAATTGGAAACAGCTAAATGCCTAACATCAGGAGATTGAACAAATTACTAACAAACAATGAGATACCAGATAAAAACTTTAAGAAGATTAGGTCAAATACACTGAGATGAGGGACTACCAGATGGCATAATGGTTATGTTTCTGGACTACCATGTAGTTGGTTGCGGTTCAACTCCTGGACCTAGCAGCCTAAAACTCATGCCAGGCACATGTGCATGAGTGCCCAAAATCCCAAGAAGAGAATGAAGGAAAATGGACTGTGGTGTGGCCATCCCCCCAGGGGATGATTTCTCACTTTCTGTCTCTCTGTCTCACTCTGTCTCTCCAGTGAGCGCACATTCCCTATAGCAAAAATATCTCTCTAAGAAAAAAAAAAGAAAAAGATAAAACAAATACACTAAGTTGAAAAGATGTCCAAAGTATTGGGTCATCGGAAAAGTTATGACATATCAATGAGTCATGACTTTTCCGATGACCCAATATATTATAAAATATTAATAGAAAATTATACAGCATCACAAAGTATGACTTCCTTAAAATATACATACAAATGCATTGGTGTACACTGGAAAAATGTCTGCGTCACACTAAATTATCAGCAGGAGGCATCCCTAAGGCAGTATGGAGAAGGGAAGTTCATTTGCCCGCTTGCTTATTAAGCAACTGAGACACAGGTGTGAGCAAAAGGGCCCAAGCAGCCGACCCTCTGGCTTTTCCTCATCAGAGTGCAGGCCCTGTTTATCCATGTGTACATGATGCTCTTGGTTATAGCTATTGAATCCAAAGGGCAATAAAATGGGCAAAGGTGCAGGGAGGACACTGACCCAGACTCATTTTGGGGTGAAGTCAAACAACCAACACACATCCAGATGTGTAATGTTGGCCTTCCACCCAGCTTCCTCTCAGAAAGCCTTTCAAGGAGAACTGGCCCCCTCTGTCCTCCAGTCCATAGAATCACATTTGGCTTTTTGTTATTGTTGTTTAGGTTTTTGCCATAGGGTGCATGCACTCACTGAAGGGAGAGACAGACAGAGAGACAGAGGGAAAGTGAAAATCAACTCCCTGGGGGGATGGCCATGCAGCAGTCTCTTCTCTTTCATTCTCTTCTTGGGATTTTGGGCACACATTCACATACCAGTGTGATTCTCTTTTATCTTTTTTTCATTTTCTTTTTTATTGAAGAGAGGGTTTTTTTTTTGCTATAGAGCACATGCATTAGCCAGAAAAAGAGACAGAAAACGAGAAATCACTCCCCAGAGGGATAGCCATGGCCTTCTCCATCCTCCTCGTGGGATCTTGAGCATGTATGCATACACACCTGGCACAAATTTAAGCCACCAGTTCCAGGATTTGAACTGCAGTCGACTATGTGGAAGTCCATCGACGTAAACATTACACCATCTGCTGGTGTGCTTTTCAAGCTACCAGATCCCAGTATGGTTTTCAAGCTACTAGATCCAGGACTTAAACTCCTTTTGGCCATGTGGGAGTCTGTCATCTTAACCACCGCACCATCTGCTGGCCCCCACACTTGACTTCTTTCCATACCAAATTGTCATTAACCCTAAGTTATTTAAGTCTTCACTCTCCAGTTGATGAGAGCCTAAGTGGGGTTTATCTTAAAACATTAAGACCAGTAGAAAAGACAAACCTCTCTTGGAAGTTCAGTCTTACTCTGTCCTCAGACACCAACATCTTACAAGAAATGAAAGACTTGAGGGAAGAGCTGGAGCCAGAGTGAGTATGGAGAGGGAGAATGGAGAGCAGAGCCCAGAGGGACAGTGGGTAGGAAGCACTGGAGGGACTCCTCTTCTACCTCGGGAGGATGGCAGATTGTGTCTTGTGCATCTAAAACCAGAGAGCCTGGCTTCTGCTGCTGCTCTCAGGGAATGAGCTATGGAAGAAATGAGGAAGATTGGAGCATTTTTCAGCCCAGTCACCCCAGAGGTGTTCTAAGAACAGATGCCCAAGCCCTGCCCCAAATATTCTTATAATTTGATAGATCTAGCCTGAAACTCAAATATCTTAGTTTGGAAAGGCTTCCAGGTAATGCAGACATAGCATGTCTTGAAACAACTAAGTTGGAGGGAGACATTTGTCCTCACAGACTGGGAAAACAGGAGGGGCACAGAAAGGACACATATCCAGCCTGATGCCACCCAGGGGACGTAGACATGCCTAAGTCCACAGGTTGGGCACCTACTTCAGATGCGTAGGGATCTGCCCACCCTCTTGGGTCCCTAAGCACATATCTTTCCAACCCTTAAGAATGAAGCCTTGAGGAGCAAGAACAAATTCCAAAAACGGGAGATGACAAGTGCCCCTCCCTCCAGCTCCCAGGGAAAGCTTGGCTGCTCCTGCCCTTGTGCAACTCCTGAGCCATTTCCTGGACTTTGAAATGAGCTCTGTTTGTGGGCAGAACAAAGTGAAGAGGAGAGGAGAATTGTCATATAAATAAGCCAGCCTTGGGCTGGCCCCATGGCCCAGTGGTTAAGGAGGCTAGCTCCCACATTCAGCCATGGTTCGAAATCCAGCCCCAGCAGCTTGAGAAACATGCCGGGCGCATGCGTGTGACCCAAATCCTGACAAGGTGGAGAAATGGAGGAGAAGGGACTGAGTGTGACCACATCCCATTTAGGGGTGCTTTCTCCATCCCTCTCTCTCTCCGGCAAGTGCACACATACACTCTGGGAAAAAGAGACAGACTAACTAAAAACTTCCAAATTCAGCTGTTAAGGAATCGAACTCCCAAGGTAGCCATTAGCAGAGCCAAGATTCACTGGATGTCTCCAGAGAACTTCATTTTATCTTTGGAATTTTGAGATAAATCAGTATAAAAACAAATATTTTTAATAACCCTCTCCAACATTCTGGTCCAACAATTAACAGCTCTATTTACAGAGGAGAGAGAGGGAAGAATGGATTGAGGGCTTTTTCCTCTTGGGAATAAAGCCTTTTGACATTTAAGCACATAGGAGAACATATCTTTAAAATGTTACACTAGGGCAGCAAGCGGTGTGGTGTTTAAGGCTCTGGATCTGACTAGGTAGCTCGAAAAACATGTCGGGCGTATGTGCATGCATGCCCAAAACTCAGAGAGAAGCATGGAGGAGAGGACTTGTGGCATGGCCATCCACCCTGTGGGGTGATTCTCACCTTCTCCCTTTCTCTGTCTCTTTCTGTCTCTCTCTGGTGAGTGGCAGTGCCCTGATGGCAAAAAATCTTAAAGGAGTAAATAATAAAATGTATTTACAGATGAGCCGCAGACCTCTCCCCCGTGAGGAAGTCAATCAAATCCATGAAGACTGCAAGAACATGGGGCTCCTAGTTGGCAGAGGTGGCAATTTTTCTCAGGTAAGACAAAGACTCGTCTTTACTTGTCATCTGAGGAAGGCACGGCGCTGGTGACTTTCATGCCCTGCCCCACCTTACTTTTTTATTCAAATATTTATTTTATGACTTTCATCTTGATTTCTTTTTTTTTTTTTCTTTATGGGGGAGGGCGGTTGAGGGAGAAAGGGAAAGGTATTTTTGATAGGGTCTCACCATGTCTCCAGCCCTAGCCTCCCAGGTAGTTTGGACATCAGGCACACACCACAGCACCTGGCCTGTCTGGGTTGGCCCAGAAATCAAACCCAGCCTTTCATGTGGCCTCAGCCACCAAGCAAGGGTGCCCTCCAGCTTGTGCTGCTGAGGCTGGGCTTGTTTTGGTTTTATTTTTAATTGACCCTTAGTAGTTGTTCATAGTTACAGGGTACAAGGTGATGTTTCACTACCTGTTTACAACATAGTAATCAAATCAGAGTAATTAATATATCCAGCACCATAGCATGAAGATGCAGCCTGAGCACGCTCTTTGTGAACTTGCGAAGCCCTTAATGGTGGTAATGGCAGGGAGCAACTGAGTAGTCACATAGATGACCCAAGTGACTCCTACGGGACAGGCAGGGACTATCCTGGGCATGATGCCCAATGTAGAATCAAAAGCAGTCAGTCCCAGTGCCTTTCACCCTCCGCAAACCCTAACAAGCCAAGACTGAGATTGAGCTCTCCCTGATCCCCTACTGGCAAAGCCAAGCCCAACCCCCCAGTAGAACCCTCTTGTCACAAATGCTGTGGTCTAGGGTGCAGTTTCTATAAAGTGATCTGCCCCTGAACCCCCCACACCAGCAGGCCCTTCATCAGGGCTGTGTTCTTGGACAGAGATGTCAGAGTGAGGGAAACTTCTGCTGCTCCCCTAATTTGTTCTTGTCCTTTGTCATCTCCTTTTCCCATTTTAAACATTCCTCATTCTTCCCAGTTTCCCTGCTCCATTCCTGCCCCTCATGATTTCAATGCAAACAATTACCTCATACTTCTCAGGCAAAAGTGAAGCTCTCAGGCAAGATCTCTTCATGAACTCATCAATTGCTATATCCATGGCTGGCCCTTGTCTTGGTTCAGACTGCTGTAACAAAATTCGACTGGGTAGCTTATAAACAACAGAAATTTAATCCTCCAGTTCCAGAGGCTGGGAAGTCCAAGATCAAGCATTAGCAGATTCAGTGTGTGGTAAGAACCAGCTTCCTACACCACTGTCTTTTTGCTATGTCCTCTTCTTATGGAGGGACATGGGGTCTCTTCATGGCCTCTTTTATAAGCTCTACTCCCGCTATCAGTGCTCCTCCCTTGTGATTTAATCACCTGCCAATGCCCCTCCCCACTGCATAATTCCATCATATTTTGGAAGAGGACTTCGACTTAGGGATTTTGAGAGATACACAAATGTTCAGACCATAGCACTTTCTGTTGTGAAGAGGAGTTTCTTCCTCTCCTAGTCTCATTCAGATCATCCACCAATGCCTCTGCTAGCCCCTACCCAAAAAAAATCTACATGTTCTCCTATATCTTCAACTTTTCTTCACCTTTCCCCATAGCCCTTTTTGTTTTTTTAATAGCCAGGCATTATATGCTCACTAGAGAGAGGGAGAAAGAGAAAGAAAGCATCCCCTGACACCCAGCAATCCTTTTTTTTTTCTCCATTCTGTCAGGATTTTGGACAAACATACACATGTGCTTGGTATGGTTTTCAAGTCACTGGGGCTGGGACTCAAACCATAGTCTATCATGTGGAATTTGACTTCCTAATGCACACCACTTAACCACAGTGCTAACCCTCCTCCTGGCCCCATGCCACCAAACAGCCTTTTAATGGACAGGCTTCAATGTTTCTTGCCCAAACCAAACCAAACCAAACTGAGCACTTTTGCCAGGGCATGCTCTATGAGGCTTTTTTAGGTCTGATAATAAATTTTCTGTACAAATCAGACAGCAAAATATTTATTTATTTTATTCATGATAGAGCATGTATGCACACATGAGAAAGAGAGAGAAGCTTCCTCCACAGAGCTCACCCATACTGCAACTCCCTTCCTCGAGTTCTTCAGCCTGCCAGGATCCTGAGCACACGCACATGTGCCCAGCATGTTTGCAGGCTGATCGGACTGGGGACTCTCAGCTGCAGTCAGCTGTGACATCTGGCTCCACAATTAAGCATACTACCAAGTGTGCCACTGAGACTAGGCCTAAACGGCGTAATTTAATGATGAAGAATCCTTAGAAAGGGCCAGCTCCAGAGATTAGTGGTTAAGACAACCAGATCCCACATGAGTGACCACAAAGTTTGAATCTTAACTCCAGTGGCTTGAAAAACATGTTGGGCATGTGCACATGTGTACCTCAAAGCCCCACATGACAGAGAAGTGGAGAAAGGATTGCATTGTGACTATGCCCATTAGGGCAGTTTTTCTCCTTTTCCCTCTCTCTGTCTCTCTGGAAAGTATGCATGCTCTCTTTTAAAAAAAAAATCATAAGACACGCAATTTATAAAGACATGAAACAATTGTGTACTTGCTTGATTATTTCTTTGTCACTTGGCAAACATTTATTAAGTGCTAAGCAGTAAATGATAACTTGGGATCCTAAGCTACAATAAGTGAGATCTGGTCCTCCCTTCATGGATCTGAGAGGACAGAAAGACATATAAGCAGAAAAATCTCAGTACAATGTAGTAAGCTCGTCTACAAATACAAAAAGGGAGTACTACAGGAGAAGACAGGAGGGACTCCTAGTCCAACCTTTCTGGCCAGCAGAGTCAAAGCATGAGTAGAAACATAGCAGAGTGCCCAAAGTTACCCACACACCAATGTGGCTGGAGCAGGAGACAGGAGGCAGTGAGGCAGGAATAAAAAAGAAGCCCTTACTATTTGTCAGGCACAGTTCTAAACACTTAGTATGCATGGTCTTAGGGGACCTTCCCAATGGGTCTCTGAAATAAGTACTATTAATATCCTCATTTTGTAGATGAAGGAAAAAAGAGACACACAGGTTAAGCAAATAGCCCAAGTCACAAACCCGGTAGGGGCAAAACCAAGTTCAAACTCGGTCAGTCTGATTTCTGAACCTATTCTCTGAGGAAGATAAAGTTTAGGAGACAAGACTTGAGACAGAGAGTTTGGGTTGGGGCAGGGGACATTGCTTGAGCTTGAGTAGTGGTAGAGATAAAGGAGACATTCTGAGAACCATTCTGGAAGTAACATGCACAGGACTTGGATATGAAGAAGGAAGGGAAGTTGAGGATGAAGCCCCCATGTCTAACTTAATTTTATGTGGTCACAAATGAGTTCAACTTTAAGCATGCTTTGTTTGAAGTGTTTATAAACATATTAATGGAGATTATGTATATTTTATATAAAAATATAAAAGGGAAAAGGGCTGAGATGAAGGTCATAATTGCTAGTCATCAGCAAGTAAGTGGTAAAATGAGGAAATCTATGCCAGCTACATGGCTTAATAGTTAAGGAAGCTAGATCCCATGTGCTGACCACGTGGTTCAAGTCCAGCATGACAGCTTGAAAAATAGACTAGGCACATGTGTGTGCATCCCCAAAATCACAAAAGTGAAGAAATGGAGGAGAGGGGGCAATGTGACCTCCCCATTTGGGATGTTCTACCTTGCTCTCTGTCTTTGTCTCTGTCTCTGATAAGCACACATGCCCTCTAGCAATAATTTGAAAAAAATAAAAATAAAAAAGACGAGATAATCTCCTGGGAAGTCTAGTGCCTGATGAGATGTACCGTGAAATGAGGATAGAAATATGATAACTGCAGAATTTAAAGGGCAGGTGAAGAACAGGTGCTCAGGTCAAGACAGAAAAGGGCAGAAAGAAGGCTGAAGAGTAGAGTCTTGGAAGCAAGAGAGTAGAGAGAGTCATAAAGAAAGAGGGTCCAAAGGGTCCAGTACAGCAAAGAAGGCCAAGAGGGATGAGGACTAGCAAATGTCAACTGGATTCTGCATGTAGTGGGAGCTTTTAGAAGAATGATGTCAGAAGATTGCTAGGGGCAGAAACCAGACCATGACAAACAGATAAGATGGGAATAATGAAAAAGATTAGTCAATAAATATCAATCATCTTTTTAGTAAGTTTGGATAAAAGCAGGAGGATAACATCTGTAAAGTACCTAGAAGGAATCAGTGGGCCAATTTTTCTTGGTATGGATTTGGGTTATGAGATCTTTAAGCCTGCTTGTCGATAGACTGAGAGGAAGTTGAAGAGAAACTGAGGATACATGAGAACACGGGGATGCCTCCTGGAGTGAATGAAGGTGATGAGAGTACCAAATTAAGGACATGGACAGACAATGTGGAGCTGAACAGGAAAGACACTCCATTCTTGAGCTTTCAGGAAAGATGTAAGAATGAATGTGGGAGCAAACACATTTAAGGAAAGATCTTGCCTGACAGTTTTGATTTTCTCTGAGTTGTAGGACGCATGATGGTCTGTGAAATAGAATGAGAGGTATGGGAGTTGAGCAAGGACATTGATAAGAGTAACAAAGGCTTAAAGGGTATAGAAACACAATAAGTGGATGTAAATACCAGATATATTGTGCGTGAAAGAGTAGAGTCTGAGGAAGGACATTTAGAAGAAAAATAGAGAGGCAAAGCATTAATGGGACAAAGAAATGTGGTATTATTTGTTGAAGATCATTTTATAGTTTTATCAACTGGACTAGGGAGAAATGTTCACATGTTGAAATAAGCTAAATAATGTGATTGAATGTATAAAAGAAAATGAAATAAAGAAAGTTTAAAAATGAATTAAAACACACAAACATATAAAAATAAAATACCACATCACATCATTAAAAAAAAAAAAAAGAATAACAAAGGTTTAAAATGAGAAAGGAAACTGACAGAGGACAAGAAAATTTGGGGAAACCAGCAGACAATAGAAACCCTGAATACTTGATAGTGTTAGGCTAACCAGCTGTGTGATTTTCCTCTAACACTTGTCAACCATCTGGGTTGAAAAAAAGTGGTATAATTGTAGCTTTGACTAGGACTGTGACTTTTCTCTGTGGGTGCAGCCATAGAAGGGTGGAAATGCAGATGAAATGAGGGGACAGGTGAGGGAGTCAGGCAATCAACTGCTGGGTGGGAAAAGAAGGAATGGGTCTGAGTGGGCAGTTAGACCCAAAGATGATGGAGCAATGAGGAAACTGAGACATTCATGCAAAGGGTACATGCAATGGGAGTCAGAAATGGGATTGTTCCTGGTGAAGAGGGGCTCCTGGTGCTGGCCTTGGATATGAATGGGTGAGTAGGAGTGTAGATGGAGGTTCTGGGAGTTGTAGCAATCATAAAAGCAAAAAGCTAATGTGTAGGGTTGTCCACATGTATGTGAACATCACTCAGTGATGGCAAAAAAGGAATGAAAAGGCTTCTGACTTCAGTGAGGATGGGGAAAAGATTAAGGAGATAAACAGATGACAAACAAAAAAGAAAAGAGGCAGAGTCAGATGAAACAAGGATTTGTATGAAGTCTAGAGGATAAATGACCTGGATACATTCCTGGGAAAGGGCAACCCAGTGAGAGAACTGTAAGAAATCTCATTAAAAACAAGATTTGGGATTCTTGGTTTAGTGAGTTTCCTCAAAGTTATATTTGAGTCTCAGATGAGTCATTGTCTTGCTTTTTCTTTATCTCCTCAGACATTCCGCATTGCACCCTCAATGTGCATCACGAAACCAGATGTTGATTTTGCTGTGGAAGTATTTCATTCTGCCTTAACCCAACATGTGGAAAGGAGAGCTAAGTAAAATATTCAGAAATTAAAAACCATCAGCCTCAAGAATGTCCTACTTTTGTTCAAGGTTGAATTTGAGGAATTTCAGAACCACTGGTATTTGAAGGAAAATTACTGCTGTGGTAGTCACAAAAGATACTGCTGACTACTACCAGTCATATTTGTAGACAGAGCCCCTATTATTTTGAGAATTCCACCATTAAGAGGAGAGATCTCGGGACCAGCAGTTGGCTATGTCGCTAGGCTCCCATGTAGTCGACTGTGGTTCGAGTCCCGGACCCAGTGGCTTAAACTCATGCAAGGCGTGTTGTGTATGTGTATCCAAGATCCCGAGGGGAGTGGAGGAGAAGGGATTGTGGCATGGCAATCCCCCCTGGGGGGTGATTTCTCACTTTCTGTCTCTCTGTCTCTCTCTGTCTCTCTGGTGAGCGCACGTGCCCTATAGCATAAACCTCTCCAAAAAAAAAAAAAAGAGAGAGAGAGAAAAAATGAGGAGGTGTCTCTATCCCTAGCTCAGAAAATAAGTCCTAATTAGTCTAGGCTAGTTATGATGATTTGATTTCCCTTTGTAGGGATTGATTTACACCTGAATATGTGACATATTTTGGGCCAATGAATCCTGAAGAAAGATATTTTGATGGAGATGCCTTCAATGAAAGGTTCTTTACCCTTTACTCTTGTTACACTAAAAGAGATGTCTTCTTGAACTGAAAATTATCATACTTCATGAAGATGTTGTGGAGCCATGTCAGCCATCTTGTGACCAGGAGGGCAAAGCCTGTTTGCTGAGGTTGAAGGTGGGCAGAAGCTGAGTCTGGGATGTCTGAGACGGGCTTAACTAGTCTTGGAGCCACATGTCTCAGGGCTTCTTGACATACAAAATAATAAATGCACTGTGTGGCAAGAGTCTTTTTTATTTACATTTTCTATTATTGCAGCCAAAAGTATCCTGAAAAAGTATGCAGAAAATACCTCAGGAAGATAATCGTTTCCCTCTCTTTAACTCCCTTAAAATGTCATCAGAGTCTTCTTTGCTCATCCACTTCCACTGCCATCATCTCACCCCGATCTAAACTCTCATTACTCCTATTTCAATAGTCTTCAAGACCAGAATCTCCCAAACTTTACACATTAGACTACATGAATCTGCATTCATAGATTTTTTTCCATATATGCATACTTCTTATCTTAGAATGACAACCAGTTTTTCTAATTTTATTTTTTTACTTAGATATATTTAATAGTAAACTTCCTTTCTTTAATTGTCAGAGATATATGGGCTAGTCAGAGAGAGAGAGAGAGGGAGGGAGAGGAAGAAAGCACCCCCTCAACGGAGTGTAGTCATGTCACACTCCCTCTTCCTCCTTTTCTCCATCCTGTTGGGATTTGGAGCATTCATCACATGTACCCAGCATGTTTTTCAACATGCCAGGGCCAGGATTACAATCATGGTCAGTCATATAGGATCCAGCTATCTTAACCACTAGGCCACCAGCTGACTTTAATCTTAAACTTCATATGATTACAATAAATGAAAAATGAGTACAACTTGTCATAAGTAGAAAGAAACCATAAAGGGGGAACAGAGTGATGTTATCCATTTCTAGCAATATGCCATTGTTTGCAAATGTTCTCAACCTGAGGCCTATTCTTTTTTTGCTCAGAAGGGAGATTAGAGGGTATTTATTGGTAAAGTGAAACCTTCCAAACACAAACAAGATCTGAAGAACTGAAAGGGAATAACTTTCTCAGCATGTAATTGCCATTTACTAAAAGTGGTGGACTGGTTAGAAGCCATGGCCTCCCAGTGTACCCTGCTGTGGTATCTGTTCTTCTAACACATCCTACATCTCACCGACAGATTTATTTCTGGTGGGCATTTACTTAAGCATAGCATTCTTTTATTCAAAACCTTCCAGTAGCTCTCTGCTATCCCCAGTAGCTCAGTGACTGCCAGTATCCAATCTCCAAATAGAGCAAACACTTCAGAAGTGCTCTGTTTTTTGGCACAGAGGAAAAATATTTGGGTTAAAAGCCAAATGTCCTAAATCCTGAATTCAGTTCTTTCTCTGATTTGCTATAATTGACCTGGGACAAGCCTTTTAATTTCTTTTTAACCTCTGCTCCCAAGCATATTAATACTTACCCTTCCTACTTCCTGAAGTTGTCTTGGGAATCAAGTGAGCTAATGGATATAAAACCATTTTGTAAACTAATGAACTCAACAAAGAGAAATTTCTTCCCTTCAGGCTATATTTCTCTTCTTTCCTTCACTGTAAAATCTTTCCCAAGAGCAGTTTTTGTGCTCCATGTATAGCCCCAATCACTAGGATCTCATTTATGCCTCGTTCCTTGAAAACTACTTTCTCAGAACCAACAGATGGTATAGTGGTTAGGCTGCTGAACTCGCACGTAGTCGACTGTGGTTTAAGTCCCTGACTCAGCAACTTAAAACATACCGGGCACATGTGTATGCATGCCCAAAATCCTGAGAATGGAGGAGAAGTGATTGTAGTGGCCATCCCCGGGACGGGGAGGCACATGATTTCTTACTTTCTGTCATTTCTTGCTTTTTTATGTCTCTCTGCCTTTCCAATGAGTGCACATGCCCTATAGCAAAAATTTCTCTTAAAAAAAAATAAACTTACTTTCTCAGAAGGCCACTGGTGATTTCTTTATGGCCAAACTTAGTGTTACCTTTGAACATTCTTCCTAAATAACTGTTCCTTCTTGAATATGACCTTTCCTTTGCTTCTGCAATGTGGTCCTTCTAACTCAGGTGGTTCTTTTTCAGTCTCTTTCCTGGCAATGCCTCAAATACAGGGTTCTGTCCCAGGCATCTCTTCTTCCATGCTATCCTCTCTCCATACAGGCAACTTCATGCACTTCTGAAATTTCACCTGTCTTGACTCTGTTGATAACTTCTAAATAATTATCTTCAGAGGACCAGCAGATAGCATAATGGTTACATCGCTGGACTCCCACATAGTTGATCACATTTGGAGTCCCAGACCCAGCAGCTTGAAACTCACGCCGAGTGTGTGTGCATGCATGCCCAAATCCTGAGAGGAAAATGGAGGAGAAAAGATCGTGGCGTGGCCACCACATCCCCCCCCCAAAGGTGATTTCTCACTTTCTCTCTCTCTCTCTCCTGTGAGTGCACATGCTCTATAGAAAAAATCTCTTTCTCAAAAAATAATGATAATAATAATAATAACCTTCAACCCCACCCTTCTTCTGAGCTCCAACCTCAAGATTCCAGCTTTCTGTACACTTTCATTTGGATGTCATGGGGACACTTCAAATTCACAGATGTAACACAAATTCTACTAAATATTTCTCTTCCAGTGAAATCCTTTCTATTAATGATACTCTTTTTATCTACACCTCACAATTTAGGTCATATTCTTCTCCCCTCCAAGGCATCCTTTTGCACTACATAAGTCATCAATTGCACGGCCAAGTCTCATGAATACTTTATGTAACATAATGTTTCCAATATGACCCATTTGTACCAAAACTGCCTTAATTTGAACCATCATCTCTCCTAAGCTATTTAAACTGCCTCCAAACTGCTATTCTGGATTCCTGCCCATCCTCTACACCAGTGGTTCCCAAAATTCCCACCACCAAGGACTGCCCTTGTGGAAGACAATCCCTCCATGAATAGGGTGTAGGGGAGTGAGGAGGAAGGGTGGTTCTGGGATGTACCAAGTGCACCACATCCACCATGTACCCCATTTCCACCACTAACATATTGCAATATACAATGAAACAATCACACAACAATAGGGTTTGCACTCCCATGAGAATGCAATGCCACTGCTGATCCTACAGAAAGTGAAACCCAGGCAGCAATACCAGTAATGGGGAGAGGCTGCAAACACAGATGAAGCCTCACTCGCTCACCCGACTACCCACCTCATGCACTAGTATGGCCTGGCCCCCAACAGACCATGACCCAGCACCAGTACACAGACCAAAGACTGGAGAGCCACTGCTCTACACTAATACCAAAGTCACTTACTTAAAAGAAAATATCAGGGAAGGTGGTGGTGTAGTGGTTAAGGTGCTGGAATACCACATGGCTGACCACCGTAAAAGTCCTGGACCTGGTGGCTTGAAAATCACACTGGGCATGTGTGCATGCATGCTCAAAATCCCAGAGGAGAATGGAGACAGAATTGTAGTGTGGCCATACCCTCTGCAGGGTGATTTCTCACTTTCCCTCTCATTGTCTCTCTCTGTCTCTCTAGTAAGTGCATGCACACTATGGCAAATACCTCAAACATAAATAAATAAATATAAAGTTTAAAATGTTTTAAAAAGATAGATATGATCATGTCTGTTGTCTCTTGAAGCCTTTGAGGGCTCTCTGTTTTCCAAGGAACAATGCCCAAACTCCAACTCTTATGGCATTCCAGAACCTTTGCAATTTGTTCTCAACCCACCCTTTGGAGCTTTGCATTTCCAACATTCTTTCCATGTCCTGCATCTTGGTTCCTTGCTTCAGTACAACACTCTGCCTGAATATTATTTCTCTTTTCTTGTTGTTTGGGTTTTGCTTTTTTGTTTGTTTTGGATTTATTTTTGGTTTTGCCAGGATTTGTGTGCATAAGACAGAGAAAGAAAAAGAAAGAAAGAAAGAAAGAAAGAAAGAAAGAAAGAAAGAAAGAACCCCCTTCTCCAATAGAGCATGGTCAAACCACAATCCTTTCTCCTCCATTTCTTCATCCCATAAGGATTTGGGGAGAGCATGCACATGTACCCAGCATGCTTTTCAAGCTGCCAGGCCTAGATTCAATCATAATTGGCCATGTAGATCCCAGTTTCCAATGCACTGCACTTAACCTCTGCACAGTTTGGCTGACCCCTCTTTTTTTGCTGGTGGAAATTATAAAGTCAGGGAGATTTGGCAAGAAAGTCAACATCTCTTAGTTATTCTTCAAAGCCCTTAATAGTTCTAACATTGGTTTTCCTCTTAGATAAAGGAAAAGAGAACACTGAAGCTAAAATTCATGATAGCCATTCAAAGACTTAGTAAAACATGAAGAGGAAGCATTAAAACTCAAATTTAAAGCAAACAAACAAAAATCCTTTTCATTCCCAGGCCAAGGACCCTGCTAATGCCAAGATATCATCTCCTGGAAAGAAGGACCGAGGGATTTAGCTATTCAGATAAAGTCATACAACATATTCTTTGTGACTCCCTGGGTACAACATATTCTTTGTGGCTCCCTGGGTCCCACAGGATCTTGTATATACATAACAGTATAATCATTAGTCTTCCACCTTTGAAGGACATCTTAGTGTCAAGTCTAGCAATACGATTCTGAAAGGTACTCAAGTCTTGAGTCTCATTTCTTGACTATGAGAGCTGTGTGGCTCCACCCAAACTCCTACTGATTGGGATATACTACAACTCTATCTTGAAGAGCAGCTGAGATTGAACAAGTGGGCAGAGACACAGGAGCAGGAAGAACAAACATTGTAGCCTTAGAACAGTGGTGGTTCATTTCTTTCACTGACTTTGACACATGATAGAGTCTTCCTTCTTTCCTTATGGAGTCATGGGTAGGAGTTTAGCACCACCATTTTTCCATCTTCCATTTTCTGCTCTACCCACAGGAGATGGGATGCAAGCCAGATTACATAAGGCAAGGAGCCCACATTCTTGCCAACTCTTTTTTTACTTCCTTTCTTGTTAAAACTGTCTAAAGTGAAGATAATGAATACTTAGCTCCAGTAAACTTTTTTCTACATAAAGAACATATGGACAGTTAATCATGTGATTAGA